TAGTTCTTAGAGGGAGAGTAAACCTGAGAACTTTTGCATTCTTCATGTTATTTCAAGGGAGTTCTACATAAACGATAATTTTTTTCTTTTGAGAACGAGAATATGGTGTATTAGGGGTATTGATTCCACTCAGTTTTCTAGCCTGATTGGGGGGTGACTTGCTGACTAGGATGGGTTCTATATGCTTTCCTTATTCTTTGTTGTCTCACAGTGTTGAAGAATCTCAACATTCATTCTCACTGTCAGGCACCATGGTTAGATGATGAGAGAACAGAATTGGGAGACCTGTTTTACTTCTTCATTTTAAGATACTAAAGCAAATTGTTGACTTGTTAGTGCTTGATTTTTTTTACTAAAGGAGGATAGAGTCTTAACTCTGCTTATATGCATAATGAGGTAATTCTTAATACTTGAAAAATTTTCATTCTTTAAAATGGAGGTATAACTTATCAGTAAACACACATAAGATGTACATATAACTCAATGAAATTTTTACACATGTATGCAGCAGTGTGTGTGTGTAAAGTTATAACCGCTAATGAGATGAATATGTAGAACATGTTTCCTCTCTCTAGAAAGATCCTTTATGCATCGTTCCAGCCACTACCCTCTTTTTTAAACACTTTGCTTTAGTATTGATAAAAGAAGCTTATAAAAGCAAATGTTGACACCTCTTTTGTTTCACTCTTAATTTGATTGTTGAGCCCTATAATAATAAAGTCAGATCTGTAAGGTCTCTAGGCTTTTAGATACAGGTAAGGCATAATGTGTTAAAGTACTTAACAGTAAACTACTAATTTAGAGCTAAATGATAGCATAGTATTGATAAAATTAGTATATTGCTTACCAGCATTTTGTGTGTGTGTGTGTGTGTGTGTTTATGTGTAGGCTTTTTCTTGAAAGTTCTTGGATTTTTTTTACAGTAAATTTACTTGAAACATTGTGCATAAGTAAGAAGAGGAAAGTTATTTGACCAAATGAATAATGAGCTTTTACATGTCTGTGATTTGAAACAGATAGCCTAGGGTTCCTGTATTCCATGCACCCATTTGCCTTATTATTAACATCTTGCTTTATAGCTATATTGAGGTGTATTTCACATACCTTAAAATGCATCTACCGAGGTATACATTTCAGTGATTTTTAGTATATTCACATAAGTGTATGACTATCACCACAGCCTAATCCCAGAATATGGTCATAACCCCAAAGAAACTATTAATTTAGCAGTCATTCTTCATCTCCCCTCTTCTAACTGCTCTAGTCCTAGGTAACCACAAGTCTCTATGGATTTCCCTATTTGGAACAATTCATATAAAGGAATTTTTTTTTTAAAGATTTATTTATTTATTAGTACAGAGCTGGGGTACAAGCCAGAGATGTGGAGAGTGAGAAGATTCACCAGAGACAGAGTGGGGAGCAGAATAGGCAGATCGACGAAGTACACTGCTGAGGGGAGCAGCGGGCGGGTCAAGAGAAGTCTGCCCCACCATGTGGTCACCTCCGGGCGGGGGGGGGATCCAACTCCTTTGTGCTGTGCTTTAACCCACTGCGCAACCAGTGAGGGCCAATATATAAAGGAATTTTTACATATAGTTTTTGTGGCTAGATTCTCTCACTTAGCATGTCTTCAGTATTTATCCATTCTATAGCATGTATTAATTCTTTTTAAATGCTAAGTAATATTCCTTTGAATTCCTATGGATATGTCACATTTTGTTAATTTATCAGTTGATGGATGTTTTGATTTCACTTTTTAGCTACTGAGAGCAATGCTGCTATGAAGATTTTTTTTTTTTTGGTATGGAGTACATGTACATGCCTAGAATGGAATTGCATTATCTGCCTAGTGTTTTTGAAGAACTACCTACCTGGGCCATTTTACATTTTCACCAGAAGTATATGAAGGTTCCAGTTGCCCCACATTGTTTCCAGCACTTGTTATATATCTGTCTTCATTTTAGCCATCCTGTGTGTCCAAAATGCTGTATTTCATTGTGGCTTTGATTTGCATTTCCCTAATGCCTAAAGATGTTGAACATCTTTTACCATGTTTGTTGGCCATTTGCATGGTCAGTGGAGAAATGCTCATTTAGTTTGTTGGGTTATCCTAATTATATTTTAAGTCTTTTTTTATCACTGAGATTATTTTGATATATATTTACGTACTTAGACTGGTATAAACACAGCTCTGTTCTATACACATATATACAATATGTATATCTGACTATATAGCTGACTGTAGCTGAATAATAGTGTATTACTATTTTATAACTAGTTTCCCCACCTCACTACACTTAAAAAAAATACTACGGAAAAATTTTCATCCATATAAAGGACCAGGGGAGAAAATAATAATAATGAACATCTATATACCAGAAACATTGTTGGGGGTGGAGTGGGGAATGGGATCAAAAATGAGGAGGGGGGGAAGTGCATTGGGTTATGGTGATGGCACACAGGTGATTTGGTGATGGGAATCCCAAGGGGATTCAACTGAGATGGAAAAAGGAAAAAAATGATGCAAAAAAAAAATTATTAAAAAAAATTTTTTCGGCCCAACCTGGTGGCGCAGCGGGTTAAAGCACAGCACTAAGAAGCTTAAGCCACTTCCCCATGAGTTCGATCCCAGCCTGCCCCAGAGGAGCTCCACATGGCGTGGCAGACCTCTCCTGACCCGCCCACTGCTCCCCTCAGCAGTGTACTTCGTCAATCTGCCTGTTCTGCTCTCCCCTGGTGAATCCTCTCACCCTCCGCATCTCTGGCCTGTAACTCACTGCGCCAACAGGGAGAGCCTAAATGTTATTTTTTGATACTTATATTTTCCAGTAATTTATCTTGAGATAGATTGAGTAAGACATTCAGATTTGAGTACAAATCAGAATTTATCTTTGCTTTGGGACTTGACAGTGGGTGTTAAAAAAAAAACAAAACCTAATGATCAAACAATTTAGATTGCTTTATTTTAGATTATTCAGTGGAGTTTCACATTTGATGGCTTCTTCATGTAAATAGGAAACTATCAGAAGGCCTATGATTAGTGAAATAAATTATTACTGCTGAGAGAAGCTTGCTTAAGAAAATTACGTATAGTGAGGAGCATGGTGATGGGACCATAACCTGGTGTTGCATGTTCTGTGACTACTTGAAACTGAACTTTGAATTGTTTAGTGGTGCTGTGTGTTTTTTTCCTTATCAGTATTTTAATGAAACAACATTGAAATTATGTTATTTGAGAACTTGCTGTACATACTTTGAAACCATCATATAATCAAGATAAACGTTTTAGTAATCTCCCCAAATTTTCTTCTTTCTCTCATAACTCTTAGAATTTGCCTTTGAATTCCATCCACAGGCAGCCACTATAGGTTTGATGTGCTACATACATATATGTATATGTAAATTAAATTGCAAAACTTGTATGGGGAAATCCTTCCTCTATTCCTTACTCTTAGAGGACAGTTTTACTGGATATTAGTTGCCTTTAAAAAAAAAAAAAGATTTATTTTTATGCATACAGGAACTGCGGTACAGGCCAGAGGTGTGGTGGGTGAGAGGTTTCACCAGAGACAGAGTGGGAAACAGAACAGGCAGATTGACTGAAGGACACTGCTGAGCAGAGCAGTGGGCAGGTCAGGAGAGGTCTGCCATGTGATGTGGGTCATCTTCCTGGCTGGGAATCAAACTCATGCTGCAGTGGCTTTGGATTGCTTCATAGTGCTGTGCTTTAACCCGCTGAGCCACCAGGGAGGGCCAAACCTCCCCCCCCCCCCATTTGTAAAGGTCCTTTGACTCTCTTGGTCCATTGCCTTCCAGGCTTCAAAGTTTGTGATGAGGAATCTGCTGATAATCTTATCATTATATGTGATGCTTTTCTCATTGGCTTTCATGATTCTTTATCTTTGGCTTTTGAAAGTTTAGTTAAAAGGTGCTTTTGTGTAGTTCTCTGAGTTCACTTTGAGTTTGTTTAGCTTTTGGATGTTTTTATCCTTGTCTTTAATCAAGATTTGGAAAATTTCAGTCATTATTTCTTCACATATTCTCTCTGCCCCTCTGTTTTCCACAACGTGTATGTTGGCCCTCTTTTTTTTTTTCCTTTTAAAGATTTATTTATTTATGCATACAAGAACTGGGGTACAGAGTAGAGGTGTGGGGGTGAGAGGACTCACCAGAGACAGTGGGGAGCAGAACAGGCAGACTGAAATACACTGCTGAGGGGAGCAGTGGGTGGGTCAGGAGAGGTCTGCCATGTCTTGTGGGTCAGCTCCCTGGCCGGGGATAGAACTTGTGCTGCACTGGCTGCAGACAGCTTCACAGTGCGGAGACTTAACCCTTTGTACCACCAGGGAGGCCCAAAATGTGTATACTTTGACTGTAGTCCTCGACTTTCTTTACTGGTACACAAACATACTATCTTTACTACTTTCTACCTGGAAATTCTGACTCACATCTTCTGGTTTATTCATCCCTCATCTCATCCTTGAAAGCTCAGTAAACCCTCGTGATATGTCTTGATTCTCAATTGTTTGTGTTAGGTCTTGTTTTTAGAGTTGATTTTGAATGCAGTTTGCAGATACAGAATTAGAAGCTACTTGAAAAAATATTTGTATCAATGCTTTTGAAAAACCGGTTTTGTAGTCCATGTTATTTTAAGATTTTAATTAATGGAATACCCATTTCTAATTCATTATCAGTTAAATTTTTTATTGCTTCTTATTACACATGCCACTTTCTTTAAGTACTGTCCAATAAGTCTTTTCTTTCCCAAAATATCTTCTAAATTTTCATATTATATATTTGAAAAAGTAGATAATACTAAAAATCCCTAGACAATTTTACTCCTACCAGTAAGAGATTGATTCTGTTAATATTTTGTTATATGTATGTATGTGTATATATATGTGTAGTGTATTTTATATATATATATTTTTTTTTAGCATGTATACATGTTTCCCTTGTCAAAGTTTCTTACTCTGTAATTCATAATGATTGCTTTTCAGCTTTTCCTGAAAGAATTCCTGTACATTATAGAAGTGCTTGAGGAAGAGTGATAAAGGCAAGTATTCATGGTCAGTAAAATTATTTCATAGTGAAACCAAAAAGCTGCAGTCACCTTTCCTCAACCCCTTTCCCTACCCCACCTCAAAATTGGTAAGGAAAAAAAGAAAGACAGTTTCTTTTATTGTCTATTATTAGTTTATTAGTAAGACATTTATTAGTAAGACGTTATTTGTTGGAAACCCATTGAATGTAAGAAAAGCCAAAATATTCTTCTCAGAAAGCACACAGCTTTTCAGTTTAATTTGTTTGTGTTATGTAAGGGCTTTCACTTACTACATTTATGTGGAGAATTTTATAAACTGAATAGCAGTTACTATTGATTTGAATTCTGTCTTATAAAAGAATATAGGGGAGTCTTAAAAAATCTTAGATATTACTGAATTCCATTAATGCTCACATTTGTATTTCAGCAGCTTAATAGAGATAATTATTAGAAGATTATCTTGTTTGGTATTTTTGGCACAGAATTTGAACTTCCTTAGTATTTGGCACATAATAATGCACATAATAACTACAAGTATAGTTTGCAGATATCAGATTACATTTCATAAAATTATGTTAAGCTTTTTTCCCCCAAAATTCTTATCTTACATTATGATGTTTAAAACTCAGTTTAAGTTTCTTTAGGCTCCATTTTAGGTGACACTGTACTAGTTGGTGTATGATTAAGTTTTGCCTCGAGAAATCCCAAAATTCTTTACTTACTATTTTGTCTTCTTTGCAGCTGTGTAGATAACCTATTCACTCTTTAGCTTGGAAATTGACACTATTTCTGTTTTGCTAGGAATGCTGACATTTCTTTGTAATAAGTCATCCTTTCAGATTATTTGAAAATGAATGATGTACAAATGTTAGTAAAATCTCAGTGACGCTACTGACATTTAAAATGTCTTCTCAATTTTTCGCTATTTTTAAAAGTAAGGAGTAGATGGTCACTTGATTTGGTAATATCACTGCAACAGATTTGCTGAGTAATAAATTCCTTAATGCCTTTATATATGAGACAGGCAGGTCATTTGGTTTTCCAACTAACCTTGATGCCATCCCTTTACTCATGGTATTTTTTACTCACATAGGAGCTTATTTGCATATTTTACTTCCAAAGCAAGAACAGACTCACTCAGTTGTATTAATAGCCAGTGCAGTAGAAATATGGAAAAAAAGCAAAATCTCCCACATTCAGCCTGCTGCTTTCACATCATCTCATCTTCTCAGGGTTTAAAATCCCAGTGTAAGAAGAGATTAGTTGATAAACACTATTACTGTATTATCTTGGTTACATTGCCTGTTTTCTCTGAGGAGCTCTGTGTTTTTCAGAGTAGAAGTCACTCAAGAACTACTACTTGTGTGCCCTACAAACAAATGAGGGAGGGTGAAGATAATTAAATACATATACTGTTGGCAGCATTTTTGACCAAAAGGAGCCCCAGAAGATTTCAGTAGATGCCGGGACAAATCATTGTTAAGATTTAAGGTTTTCTTTCATGGGTCTCCCAAAAGGAAAAGAAAAAATACACAGTCAGGAAAAGGGAAAGAGCCCTCCATGATGTAGAGATATTTCAGTGTGGTTACAAATAATCTGAGTGAAAGGCAATAAGATTTTCCATTCTCATGGCTGCTATTAATTACCTGTCTTGGGAACAAAGAATTTTGTTGGTACTTAGAGCGTTGGAAGGTATTGATGAGGGATATTTGTCACCAGTTTATGACGCTGAGTCATAAAGAAGTCAGGAGATGGGGAATGGGCATCAAAGAATATGGGCTGCAGAATCATGATGACTGTACACATATGTGGAAAGAGAAGGTCTTCTGAAGGTAGTTAACAGGAAGAAAACTAATGGGTTTGTATTTCTGTCGCTCTGAACTCTATTAATTGTGGATTCCTAGTGGACTCATATTCAGCTAATTTATCTCTTCTAGATTGCTACTTGGTGGCATTGAGTCTGCATTTATCTACATGGAGTTTCCTTGGTAGTGATTTAAACTGTTCAAAGTACTCTACTTGGAATATAGGGAGTTTTAATGTCCTTTGAACAGAAAGTTGAGGAGAAAATATGGAAATCAAGAACCTTCTATACAGTATTTTGCTATCTCTGGCAGCTTTTGTGTGTAATTCACTTTTGCTTTAATATTTGCAACAACTCCATAAAAATAAACTTTCTGTTATGAAAAAAAAAAAAAACCTCATCTCTATCATCTCCCCTTTTTTGCATGTGATTTCCATAATCATGGCAATTGTACTGACCTTGTGCCTTGTTTCAGCTTCCTTTTAATTTTCTGCATTTAGTACTGGTATTTGGTTGCTGTATGAATTTTTTTTTCCCCTACTATGCCATCAGGCCCAGTTACTATGTTTCTCCTTTGCTTTTGAATTTGTGTGGATATATGGGAAGCTTCTGTCAAGGATGACACTATTCAATTTGAATCTCTTTTCTTGATAACTGTGATACTGTACACAGATCTAGTCTTTCTGAAGACAGATCTGTCTGGATCATTCACTCATGGTATCAGAATGTCTTGTGCTTCAATAGAGCATTCCACTTAAAAATTTTAAGTTTCATTTTGTTCTCTAAATAGCAAATCTGTTACCTTTAGTTAACTTAATGAACCTGAATGATAACAAGAAATTCTCTTTTGCTTGAAAAATAAGATGTTGGGATATCCACTCCATACTGTTATTCTTTGAATTTACTGATTTTCAGCACATAGATAAGTAACTGATTTGTGAGAGGAATTAAATTGCCTCAGCTATACTGTGCATATTGAATAGTCTTTTTCTCTCTTGATATCCCAATTAATGACTATTCTGTCAACTATTTATTATGATCATCCTCCCAAGATGGTGTCCTTCTCCAGTATTCAGTTCTTCCTATATGGAAACCTGCAGAGATTATTTTTAAACATTGCTGTTTTCATTTCCTATATATTTGTTGTGAACTTTTTATACTATTTTAGAAAATAATCATTACCTGCTATTTAGGAGACTATCTTTTAATCTTTTGATTAAAGATGACTAAATGATAGTGCCTACTTGTTTGGCTAGTGGCATGTTTTTCTTTGTTTAAACATGGGAATTGCTGCATGGGTTTATAATATAAAGTTCTTTTCTTTTCTTTTTTTTCCTTTTAAACATTAGATAGGCATGAAGCCTCCGTCTCACAGCTGCATGTGTAGTTACTGGTGAAGCAAATGCCTACCTAATTTGACAGTCTTGGTGTGTTTAAAATTTTTTGAGTTTGCAAATAAGCATATTAAGTCTACTGATGGAGCCTTCGGGCAGTGAACAGTTATATGAGGACCCTGATCCTGGAGGCAAATCCCAAGATGCAGAGGCCAAAAAGCAGACAGAATCAGAACAAAAGTTGTCTAAAATGACCCACAATGCTCTGGAGAACATTAATGTCATTGGCCAAGGCCTGAAGCATCTCTTCCAGCACCAGCGCAGGAGGTCATCAGTGTCTCCACACGATGTGCAGCAGATTCAGGCAGAGCCAGAACCTGAAATGGATCTGGAAAGCCAGAACGCATGTGCTGAGATTGATGGTGTCCCCACCCACCCCACAGCTCTGAATCGTGTCCTGCAGCAGATCCGAGTGCCGCCCAAGATGAAGAGAGGGACAAGCTTGCATAGTAGGCGGGGCAAGCCAGATGCCCCAAAGGGAAGTCCCCAAATCAACAGGAAATCTGGCCAGGAGATGGCAGCCGTTGTGCAGTCTGGGCGACCCAGGTCTTCATCCACCACCGATGCACCCACCAGCTCCGCTCTCATGGAGATCGCTTGCGCTGCTGCCGCCGCCGCGGCGTGTCTGCCAGGGGAGGAGGCCGCTGCAGAGCGGGTGAGTCTACTAGGCTTTCTTTCTATTTATTGTCCTTTGTGTCTGAAGTTTCCTTTAAAAACTAAAATGATACATCTCAGCAAGTACCTCAGTGTTGGAATGAAGATAATTTCTCTTAAATAAATGTGATGAATAATAATCATTCTAGTTAGTAAACAGATCCTTACATTATGACTCGCTTCTTATATACTGGTGTATTTTGCCCTTTTACTGAAACCTTCATTTCATGTGTTGTTTCTATATTAAAAGGCTAGGTTTAGAGATAGAGGACAAAGACTGTTCTTTTGGTTTTGTACATAGGATTGGCAAAAGTTGCAGATCTGGGCTTGTCTGTGCTTAATTAGCATGGTAATATATTAGGTTACTTACAGTTTTTATACACATGTATCATGCACACGTGTATCACATCGCCATTCACTGTACATTTCACTTTTCATAATACAACATATGTAGTTTACTCTTAATAAGCAGATTTTTTGGAGTTTCCCTTGATGCGAGAACTAGGCATATCAGATTTAGGGAAAGTATAACTTACATGTTGTCTGTCAGATATTGTAAGTTGAACACAGCAAAAATAGTTCTGTCAGGGTTTGGAAACTTGGGTAAGTGTAGCAAAGCAGCTAGTGACAATGAATGAGCTCAGTGTTAATGGGACTCGGACAAACTGAAGAGCACATTTCCTTTCTAAAGGGCTGGTGTCTTAGCTTTAGCTTATTAAAATTGGTACTGTGAACACAGTCTTGCAGAGCTGATTTTTCAAGAGAAAATGGAAAGCCAGATAATCTTTTGCATTTTTTTAACACAGAAGCCAGCCAGGGTTTGCCCCATAAGTCGCAATCTTGATGTCTTTGACTTTGCTTTTTTGTATTTCTTAATGCCTTCATGGTAGTCACTTTCTTTGTCTCTTTCTTGTTCAGTTAAGTTTATTTTACAGGACATGTAAGATGAAAATCTATTAAATCTAGTACCTTTAACTCTCTTGTATCATCTAGTGATATTAAAAGCAAATAGATAATGAATAGTAAATCCCTTTAAGAAGGGAAAGGAAGAATAATGTTGTGAAAAGTAGCATTATATTTATGTACATAACAATTACATTTGAAATAAAAAGGATACTTGGTCATTGAATAACCCAGTCTAGTTGGCAGGAAAAACTGACAGTGCAGCTATATCATTTTATCAATGAAAAATTTATTACTAGTGTTTTTGGGATTATAGACTTTTATATTAAGAAGAAAAGTATAATAAGTAAAACATTTTGTAGTCACATGGTTTTGGAAAACTTCATAGAAAGCCAAGTAAGAACATTTTCCCCATAACGTTTCTTTAATATTTTTGTCAACTTCATTGACATGTATGTACATAACAATAACTGCTTTAAAGGTACAACTTGATTAGTTTTGAAAATGAGTAGTCATGTAAAGAGATAATCATGATACAGAATATATCCATCATCCCAGAATGATTTCTGATGTACCTTTGCTGCAGTAGGGCTTCTTTTCCCCAAGTTGGCTTCTTAGCCAACTAGTCTCTGACAACCACTGTTCTACTTTCTGTGGCTAGTATTTTTTTTCCTAGAATTTATTTATTTTAAATATTTATTTATGCATACAAGAACTGGGGTACAGGCCAGACGTATAGGGGGTGAGCAGATTCATTGGAGACAGAATAGGGAGGAGAACAGGCAGATTGGCTAAAGTACACTGCTGAGGAGAGCACTGGGGAGACAGGAGAGGTCTGCTGCACCATGTGGGTCACTCCCTGGCAAGGAATCCAACTCATGTTGCATGGCTGCAGATAGCCTCATAGTGCTGTGGTTTTTGTTTTTTTGTTTTTTTTTTTAAGATTTATTTATTTATTCATACAGAACTGTGGTACAGGCCAGAAATGCGGAGGATGAGAGGATTCACCCGAGACAGAGTAGGGAGCAGAACAGGCAGATCCATGAAGTACACTGATGAGGGGAGCGGCAGGCGGGTCAGGAGAGGTCTGCCACGCCATGTGGATCTCCTCTGGGGCAGGCTGGGATTGAACTCATGGGGAAGTGGCTTAAGCTTCTTAGTGCTCTGTGCTTTAACCCCCTGCACCACCAGAGAGGGCCCAAGAGCTATGTTTTAACCCCTTGCATCATCAGGGAGTGCCCTTTTTCTAGAATTTAATGTAAATGGGATCATGCAGTATTTTGTCTTTAGTGTTTAGCTTCTTTCCCTTAGCATAGTGCTTTGGAGAGATTGTTGCATGTAGCCTCCGTTCTTGCTGAGTAGTGTTCCATTGTGTTGGTATTTATTCTCCCATTCACTAGTGATGGATATAGAAATTTCAGTTTCTTTAATTCTTCATAGGTATTTGTTGTCATTTCATTTATGCTGTTGCTTTTAAATTTGGATCATTTTACTTTTCTATTATGAATTAAATTGCTCTGAACTTTTGCATACTGGTCTTACATGTTTTCATTTCTCTGATTTATATGGTAATTGCACCTGCACTGTTCTTACTCACAATAAACTCAAATGTGTGGGTTTTTTCCACACCAGTTCCGACACTAACTGGGTATGTTCCAATTCATTTTAGTTCTGATAATAGCTCCACAGGTTAAGAAGTCCTTTTGTGAAGACTGCTCCCACTTCAGACATTATTCACAAGGCTTAGGTTACCACTTCTACTAATGTCCATCCAATTAGAAACCCATGACTTCCTCCGTAGGTTTGCTAAAACAGCTCTCACAGAACTCACAGAAGTCACATTACTTATGCTTACTGCCTTTCTATAAAGAATAATACTGCAGTTAGATACAGCCAAATGGAAATGATGCTTAGGACAAGGTAGGGGTAGGGTTCCTCCCTAGCAATGGTTCCTTCCCAGCACTTGATGTATTTACCAACCTGGAACCTTTCTAAAACCTTGCTTTTTAGGGGTTTTGTGTAGGCTTCACTATGTAGTCATGGTTGATTTTATCATTGACCTCTAACAGTTAACTCACTATGTAAAACCTCTCCCCTTCTGGAAGAGTTTGGGTGTGATGATGTTCCATCCTTATGTTTATGCCTCATTGTTTGTGGGACTAGAACCTATTCTGAAGCTATTATCAGAGGCCACCTATGATTCTGATAAACATACAAAGATATATTTATCACTCCAGAGATTATGAGGATTTTAGGAGCTCTGTGCTAGGAACCGGGGACAAGTATATTTTTATTACAGTGTGTGTTTATAAAATGATTGTATTACTTTACCTTTTTGTCAGCAGTGTGCGAAAATCTCAGTTTCTTTACCTCTTCATCAAGATTTGTTGTCATTTATGCTGCTGTTTTTAAATTTAGCCATTCTAATGTGTGTTTATTGGTATTAGATTTGGATTTTAAGTTTGTTATTTCCCTAATGGTATAAAGAAAACAAATGGTGACGTTTGTTTTTTATACATTTTATAAAGATTGGCTAGAGAGTTACAACAGCAGTTATTTCTAAGACTTGATAAGATTTTGTTCTTGACCCTGTGGAATGGCAGAGCAGGCACTCAGCCAAATGAAGTGCACTGTTTGATTATAGCTACTGTGATCTTGCTTTTTACAGTTTTAATAAATATGTATTTATAGTCACTGGTCTGGAGATACAGTTCTTGTTATTCACATACAAGCTCAGAATGTCAAATTTGATATGTCTACATATAGAACCTACTAGGTTCTGATTTGCTTCTTAAAAGACTAGATTGTGTCCCCTCTGTGAACAGCACATTGCTAGAACCTAATCTGCCTTCTTAGCCAACACAATTGAAATCAAATACTTTGTCAGTTTTTCAAAAAGTCAGTTAAAATTGATTATCAGAAAATGGTATGTTCATACTTTGACTATTTTAGCTTAAAGCCAAGACCATGCATTTTTATATAGCTAGTGCTAGTAATTAGATTTCTATGCCTTTTATGCACTCATTGCATGGACTATAATTTATAGTTTTGAATTTTATAAATATGTGATAACCTAATGACATGTATGAAACAGTCTGGGGCAGAATCTAGATTTTAATAATCTCTTGAAAAACTTTATCCACATTCAGTTCTTTTTAAAAAAAGCAACTAGCCTTTATTGAGTTTTTCTAAATAATTTAACTTAGTTTTCATAGAAACAGCAGTCCTTTTTTGCACTCATAGTCTAATTGGTTTATGTAGTATTTAATTAAACTGTGAGTATAATGATTTTAAGTAACAAACTGATGTTGGAACAGATGTGGGTGGAAGTACTAGCCAAGAATATTGATTGCCCTGTAGGCCTAAAGTCTGCATGTCTTTAGGGGCCTTCCTCGTGGCACAAGGGTAATGTCTCAGCACTAATAAGCTCTCCACAACCACTGCAGCAGGGAGTTCTATCCGTGGGCCAGGGAGCTGACCTACAGGGTGCAGCATACCTCTCCTGTTCTGCCTGCTGCTCCCCTAACCAGTGTATCAGTAGATCTTCCTGTTCTGCTCCCCAATTTATCTCTGGTGAATCTTCTTAGCCCTCTATTCTCAGCCCCCCACACCTCTGGCTTGCACCCCAGCTTTTGTATGCATAACTAAAATAAATCTTAAAAAAAAAAAAGCCTGCATGTCTTTGGGGAGAAAATGGAGAGTTTAAGAATGATAATGACGCAGCTGGTTAAAGCACTGCACTAAGAAGCTAAAGCCACTTCCGCATGAGTTCGATTCCCACCTGCTCCACCTGCCCCAGAGGTGACCACATGGTGTGGCAGACCTCTCCTGACCTTAGCAGTGTACTTCGTCAATCTGCCTGTTCTGCTCTCCACTCTGTCTCTGGTGAAGCCTCTCGCCGCCCCTGAGCCTCTGGCCTGTACCCCAGTTCTGTATGCACAAATAAAAAATTAAAAAAAAAAAAGAATGATAATAACAAGCTGGTTGGAAACTTTCTATTCTTATTTTTTGAAATTGTTTGGAATGCTAAATATTGGTCTATTTTAGTTTCTTTTTTCTTTCTAAGTTTAAAGATCTGAGGCTAAAAATGTTTTAATG